GAACACCAGCTAACTTTCTGACAACGGTTTTTTGGTTCTACGTTAATAGCTTTTCTGATCTTACTTTCAAAAGTAAAAGTTAATTTTTTAAAAAAAATATTTACTTTTCTGTGAACTTCTTTAGAGTATTCACCTGAGAAACGTAAGATTCAGCAACAGTCTTAGGGTAGAAGTGATGAGTAGCTATTAGTCTACACAATGCTCTGTTATAGATTATATATTCATTTGTCTCTTCTTTTGTTGAGTGAATAAGCTTCCTTAAAAGAAAAACTGAAACAAGAGCTTACTACTTACTTTTTGAGGGAGTTTTTTTAAGTCCTATGTTTAGCCAATATCAGAAAAAGAATTAAATTATAAATAAAATAAATAAAGCTAATTACAATAAAGCCTCTCATTTATTGAATCTGTGCCATGTACTTTATCCATCAAACTACATTTATCCTCCTAACAAGTCTATGAAGTAGGATTATTATCCCACTTTATGGATAAGCAGCTCAGGAACAAAGTGACTGTTTCAAGTTCACACAGACAAAAAGTGAGAGACTTGGAACCCAAACCTCAATCACCATGAATTCATCCACAGATCTTCAGCTGCCCTAGCTAAAAGGGAGACCTGAATTTCAGGGGGAAAATAATACCATGACACATAGTTTTCAAAGTTACACTTCGACTTAAAATTTTATTAGCAGATTTTTACCTTGAATTTTCTTGAGACATTTTCAGTGCATATAATCAAGTGAGCAAAAATAATGAAGGGAAAGTCCTATTTTTCCAGGGCCAACTTATATTTAGTCTTGGGAAAAGGTGACACGTTTAATTTTCAAGGCCCTACTGAAAAATAATATGAAATATTTTAACTATATTTTTTAGGAAATGGAAGAAATATAGGACACGTTACCCATTGAATATTCTTGGGCTATTAACCACATGTGATTGATTTAAGATGAGTTTTTTAGAGTGGTTTTTAAAGTTATTCTTTAATTTCCTTTTTGGTAAAATATTGTATCCAGCTGTGCTTTCTATAAAACAATAGTCTCTATAGGCAGTGTCTTTTTTTTTTTTTGGCTGTAAAAAATATTCACAAAATAAAATATGCACATCAATTAGACGTGGCAAATTGTGTAGCCTCTTAGAAAGACTTGAGTTAGATTGGACCCTCTTTTGATTAATGGACGTTCTTTAAACGAATTAGCCCAGATTCTGCCCAGGAGCAGAGAACGGGCATCCCAGGGGAATGCAGCAGAACAAGTCTGAACGTAGAATATCTGTCTTCATCATCAAATACTGTTCAAAAGCAATTGGTTTTGAAGTACCCTTAAGACAGGGGTCACAAACTCCAGTGCCTAGAGGAGGTAGGCAGGTGATATAAATGAGTCAAGTGGGCTGGGGGGAAGAAAACATCTGAAGCATCGTGGTGACAAATGGCACCTGACACTTGGCCATGGTGTCAGCGAGATGATCTGGAGCCATGGGATTATGGCAAACTGGTCATTGAAAGGGGCAGCTGCTTTTCAATTTTGGCTGACTGAGGCCATTTGGGAATCCGGGCCCAATGCTCTCAGATCATCTGACTTTTAAAGAGAAATTAGAATTTCAAATGTTGATGTATCATCTTCCAATGTTTAATGTTGACAATTAATTTAAAAAATACTATTTGGGCCAACTTAAAAAAACACCCATGGACCACATCTGGCCAGCAGGCTACCAGTTTGCAACTTCTGATTAGAGGAAATACAACAAACAGTAATAGAAGTAATACCTGAAAATGATCTCTTAGCTCTGAGTTCTTATACCTCTATACTAGCTTTTATATAATATTAAAAATTCACTTAATTTATACTTTACCAAAACAAACAGGAAAGATAGTGTACACCTCAGGTTCTATGTGAAACCATAAAGTGTGTTCCTCAATATTTGAACTATATGCAACCTACTTTGGAATTGACTGAAGAGCTTATTTAAAAGGTGCACGCTGGATTTGCGTTAATTAGGTCTCAGGTGGCTCCTAGGAATCTAACTTTGTACAAGCACCCTATCCCCAGATGATTCTAATATATCCATTGATGGAGTTCCTCCCTTTGAGAATACGCAGGCTATGTGGTCATTTCACTGCCAGCCTTAACTTCTGTATCTTCCCTCTTCTCTCAGGCAGAGACAGCTCCGATTTAAAGAGGGTTAAGCTTTAGATCCCTTGAATCTCTGCTTGGTTGGATGATCCAGAACACATCTGTGCTTTTGGGTCATTCAGTTCCATAGTTACAGGTTGATACTTCATAATGACAAATGTCTACCTCATTAGCTTGCAGTGTATAGTTGCTCAGCATACGTCTTCATTTAGCTAATGTCTTAGTGGATGATTTCCTTTTGGCTCCCTACTGAGTATCAGTGTAATGTACCTGATCGGTGCCCAGTAAGTAATTTTTGATCGACTATTATAATGCATTAATTAGAACACCACCAGCTAGGCCTACCAGATCAACTGTCTGTGACTGAACTGAACAATCATTTACTCTAACCCACTAGGCATTTTAGTTAAGCCAATAATTTGACTAATTTTTAGCTCTCAGAAAATTATTTGATGACATTTGACCAAATGAGCCCGTCCCCACATAATTCATATAACTTCTGACATTGCCTGCTCTTAAATTCAGGAAGTAAACATATTTCTAAGAGTATAAAACTGTTCAAAAGAAAACACAGGCCCAAAACAGAGTCACTGGTGCCAAAAGCCCATGATGCCAAACTGAGATTTAATGCCTGATCTCATTGCAGTTTCAATCTCTCCCAGAAATGTCCTCTTAATCGACCAGCCTGGAATTTTCTGGTCAAGCACCAGTAAAGAAATCTGTCACGCAGGCCCTTTCCACCCCCCAGAGTGAACAGGCAATCTGCACGATAAAGCTCTCACCATTCCCTTCTCTCCAAAGAGAAGATGTCCTGCGCCAAATACCCATCCCTCTTTTCGTTTTTTGCTAATATCTCCCTTGCCTCAACCCCCTTCCTATAAAAAACTTCCATTTTGTACAACCCCTCGGAGTGCCCTTTTACTTGCTGGATGGGATGCTGCCCAACTCATGAATCGTTTATAAAGCCAATTAGATCTTGAAATTTACTCAACTGAATTTTGGTTTTTTTACCATAACTCATTATGCACTCTTACACAGGACAAAAATAGTATCATGAAAGTGGTATAGTCACACTATTTTAGACACTGGAAACACTCGCTGTAAAAAATGCTGATAGAATGACATGTTCAATGAACTACACATTTTAGTGTGTCTAGGGAAATCCACAATTGAAAGGTAAATTGTTATTTTGCTTCAGTGAAAAACGAACCAAAAAGTAAGTTGTCTTTTAAAAACATTGAGATCAGGAAAAGGCATCAGACTTGTGTTTTCTATCTAGCGTTCATATCCGTAAACAACAGAATCTTGGATATGGGGCACAGTTTAAGATATTATTCATCCCTTATCCTAGACTACAAGCAGGCTGTTTCTTAAACCATTCCAAGCATTGTTAGACAAAAGAAATTTTTGACCTCCAAGGTAACCTTCTCCAAAAGATAAACTGATAATTTCTTGCATAGCTTGTCTTTTTTCATCATTTCCATACTATTCTAGTTAATGCTACCAGCCTTGCCGTTCAGAATATTCAAATATGCTGTTGGGGCTCTGGACACAGTGATGGGTCTTGACTTCACCCTCGCAGAGGTGAAGTAACATTATATTTGTCACTGCCTCATCTAAGTCAGCAAGACGGCACTGTATAATAGCCTTCGAAATACTAAGTTAAGAAGTCCACGGGGCAGAAGGTGAAAAGGTCAGATACTGACATAAAATCAGGCTCCAGATGTGATGACCCTTTGTCAGAAGCTTTGTACCCTGCAAGTCAGCATAATGTTATCGAATTCACCTCCTAGCTGAAGCCAGACACGTTGACGGAGGCAGCCCCACCTTCACACTAACAGATGAGACATCAGCATCACCTTACAGACTGGAGGCACAGAGCAGGGGGCAATTTATCAAAAGAATTTAAAGCTATAAATGGCCTCTTTTATTTTCCACTCCCCCCATCCCAAAGTGTTGACCTTTATTTTAATGTCTGAAGAAGCCATGAATATATTAGAACTTAGAGAGAGATAAAAACTAACCTTTGGTAGCCAGAGTCCTGAAAATTATACTTTGAAGAATTCCTGGAAAACTCAGTCTTCCTTTGTTGAGTAATGGGAATAAAAAATCTTTAGTTTTGGTAGAAACAAATATAGCGACAACTCTTCAAATAACCTTTTTCCTCCATAGAACACACTTATCAGAAATAGCTTAAACTAGAATTAATGAAGTGGAATAGAAATTGCAAGTTCTAATTTTTACTTTTGCCTTCTGTTATATAGGTAGAGCTCATAGTCTTTAGAATCAATCATCTTTGATACGCTTCAGTTAATAGAAAATGAAAACTTTCAAAAGATTTCTCTATTACCTAACAAGAAGTGTTCAATGCATTTTTAAAGCTTGGATGAAATGTATAGTAACTATATTATCTGATGTGCTGATTCCCAAACTAGATGAGAAGTGGGATTCCAGAAAGCAGATTCTAGGAAATTGTTCATGATGAAATATTATTTTAGAAGTTAGAAAAATAATTTCAACTGGTCCCATTGCAGAAATTAACTTGTCACATAATTACTGATGGGAAATGACATGAAGAAAACCAATGCCCTCAAAGTTACTAACAATTAGAGTTCATGAATAAGGATTAAGAGAAGAGAAAATTAATTAGGTCAGGTTTGGGCAAAGAAAAGAAAAGAAATTCATGCCAGTTATACCTAAAAAGTGATCAGATGCATGCACTTTATTTTATTTCATTTATTTTTTTTAAAGATTTTATTTTTTCCTTTTTCTCCCCAAAGCCCCCCGGTACATAGTTGTGTATTCTTCATTGTGGGTTCTTCTAGTTGTGGCATGTGGGGCGCTGCCTCAGCGTGGTCTGATGAGCAGTGCCATGTCCGCGCCCAGGATTTGAACTAACGAAACACTGGGCCGCCTGCAGCGGAGCGCGCGAACTTAACCACTCGGCCACAGGGCCAGCCCCAGATGCATGCACTTTAAATGAATGGTGTTGGCAGGGGCATCTGCCATCGGCTGGAAGCAGTCCGAAAATTCTTGTTGAGTGGCCAGCCAGAAGGCTGATCCATGTCCTGATGCTAAGCAGTTTCTATAGCTAGACACATAAGCAATCAAGTAGATCAAGGTGCACACAGTGTGACTGCTGGTAACTGCCTGCTCCCTGAGAGACGGCAAGGATGGAGGATGACTTGTTTGCTGCTTGCTGCAATGTTTGCTTCTTCCTAGGCCTGTGGCCTTGGGTTCCTCTCCTGAAACAAAGACTTTTTCTGCAGCATCCATCCTGGCCACTGCATCATACTTGTGGACGTGGAGGCATAGGCAACTGGCACATACATGCTGACTTCTGACTACTGCTTTTTCTGTGAGTAGTAAAGTTTTTTTTTTTAATCTCTGAAAACAAATTGATCAGATGTCCCACCAGTTTCCCAATCACTCAGAATTAAAATCCCAGCCATCTTTGACCTCTGTCACAATTGTCCCAAACAGTCCATCTGTTTTCAAAGCCCTTCCTCTCCAACTCTGAATTTTTTTGCACCTGTTCCTTCTTCTTCATTTCTGCCACCACAGACCTAAACAAGACCCTCATTATGTCATTTGGTCTATTGAAACAGACTCCTAACTAACCTACCCTGCCTGAGGTTTCCCTTGTAGTCTATTTCCTGGATCTGCTCCTGTTACTTCCCCTGTTTATCATACCAAATGCTCCTCATTATTAATGAAATAAGTCCAAACTCTTGGATCTGCATTCAAAGTCATCTATGTGTTATTTATATAAAGTCATCGAGGTTATTTAACGACATTCAATTCTACAACTGAGTATCAAGTACTTGCTATTAACCAAGTATATGGTACTAGATGCTCTGAATCTCAAATGAAGAGTATCCTCTTCTTCCCCTTAAAGAGTTTATAGGGGCCGGCCCCATGGCCGAGTGGTTAAGTTTGCATGCTCCACTTAGGCGGCCGAGGGTTTCACCGATTCGAATTCTGGGTCTGGACATGGCACTGCTCATCAGGCTGTGCTGAGGAGGCGTCCCACATGCCACAACTAGAAGGACCCACAACTAAAAGTACACAACTATGTACCAGGGGGCTTTGGGGAGAAAAAGGAAAAATAAAGTCTTAAAAAAAAAAAGGAATTTATAGTTGTCACTTCTTATAATGGGTATCACGATGGTTACCAGGTGCTAAATGCTTCAAATGCACTGTCTCATTTACAGACAGGCCGTATGTTCCTTTTGCTCCAGTACACATGGAATGCCTGCTTTTCTCCATGACTTTCCGACCACTGTTCATATAGTCCCATGCCTAGAATGCTTTCTTCAGCCACTTTTATTTTACACATATTTACTGCTTGCTCAAAGACAAACAGTGGACAAATCACACAAATTCTCTACTTTCCAAGAACAAATATAAAACATATCTGGTGATACAGAAGAAAGATAAAGTAGGTTAAGAGAGTCAAACTGACAAAGTCTTGCCCATTCTTTAAGGAAGAAATTTCTGTGATCCTCATCACTGTATGGTAGGCCCTGTTCTACAGTGGGGTGGGGGATTGAAGGGTGGAGGAGATAAGGAGTTGTGTGACTTATCCCCTTCAAAACATGTGGTTGAGGACAACAATAATAATGATGATGGCTAATATTCATTGAGTGCTCATAATACAAGCACTAATTTTTAAAAACCTCACAATGATTCAGTGATATTATCCCCATGTTACTATTGTCCCCATGTTACTGATACTTGAGACATGAGGGAGGGCATGTCTCAAGTGTCAAAGCTGTCAACATTTACAATGATGGTAAGTGGCAGAGCCAATTGTACCAAGGTGGTCCAGTTCTAAGGCCTAAACCGATAGCCATTCTATGAGTTGACCCGCAAGATATCAGGATGCTCTTGGCAAACAATGGAGAAAGTGAATGATGGGTAGATGCCCAACAAATTTCCATGTCAATTACCTCTCTGCCTCCAATCTCCTTTATTCTAAATCCATCCTCCAAAACTACAAGAGTGAGCCATCCAACATGAAAGTCTAACTTTGTCATTATCCTGATTAAACAATTCAATGCCTCCCACTGCTGGAGGGAGAAACCATTATTCTACATTGCTCTCTAATGAAATTTATGAGGTGGTATGTACCTTAACTGGCAGTTTAAGAAAACCTCTACCCCAAATCTAAGCATTGAGTACAGAAGGAAAATTTACCTAGTGACTTGTTTAATTAGCCGTTATGAAAAGAATGCTTATTGGATGTCATTGATAGACTGTCCCAAGGAAGTTTAGTTTTTATCCACAGAAATCTGTCCTTGGGGGATTATTATATCAAAGTCAGGGTCAGTTCAGAGAGGCAAAAGGAACAAACACAAGGACTTTGGAGCCAGAGTTTGGAATCATGGCACCAGGACTCTTTGAGCTCCAGCAGCCTTTTCTGTAGCAGACTCATGTGCAATTTGAGGGTAACATCTTCTTCATAGGGTCACTGTAAGGATTGAATGAGATAATATATTAAAGGGCTGAAAACAACACCTACATAGAAATTCCTAAGCAAGTAATAACTATTATACATCATTGAAGTTTTCACTGTTCTATAATTTAGTTATATTTAGTTATAGTGGTTTAATTCAAGTAGTAATACACTACTGAGGTTAAAAAAACAAATAAGCAATATAACAGAATATGGGGGGTAAAAAAGGGTCCCTCTCCTAGAGAAAACTCTTGCTAAGACTTCTTGCTTGTCTTTCCAGAATTTTTCTATGTATATAAAAATATACATGTGCTTTTTTAAAAATAATAAATGATAGCATTTATGATACAGTTTTGCACCTTGCCTTTTTTTCCTGGGAGGATTGTTCCATATTGGCACATACAGATCTACTGAATTACCTTTAACGGCTATGTAGTATTTCAATACGTAAATGTGGCATAGCTTATTTAACAAGTTCTCTATTAATGGACATGTATGTTGTTTTCAGTCATTTTCTGTGACAAAATAACATTTCAATGAATATTTTTGAATGATTATTTCTATAGAATTTGTTTCTCGAAGTAGAATTGCTGGGTCAAATGGTATGTGCATTTGAAATTTTTATAGCTCTTGTTCAACTGCCTTCTGAAGAGGCTGAAAGAATTTATGCTCCTACTCAGGTGTAGTATAGACAAGTTATTTAAATACTTTCCTTATAAACCACTCAATTCTCTGAAGCCATTTTTCTCACTGTCTTAAAACACCCCAAGCTACATTCTTGCCTCCTTGCCTGTAGTTTTGTTTTTCCCCTAGCCTAGCCTAGAAATACCCTTCTCATTTGTCTACCTGAATCCTATGCACATGCATTAGTAGGATATACTCAGTTGCAAGTAACAAGCCTCAAATGAAACCAGTGTAAGGAAAATTGAAAAAGGAGGGGAGGATAGTTATAGAAAGGATTCCAGGTAGTTCACGGAATTGCAAGATGAGCTGCAGGTTCCAGCAGTCCTAGAGACTAGGACCAGAGCCTGCACACCCTCCTCTATCCGTTTCCAACTCCTTGTACCTCTGTATGATTTAATTCTCTTCTATGGTAGACTGGTGGGTCTCATAACTGTCAAAAATGTGAAAGTTTATATAAAAGGTAGGAAGTTATAAACATGAAACTTCAAAAGATGTTTTTCACTGGCAACTTCTGGCTATCCCTACTTTTGATGTCTTCTCATCTGTCATTAAATGGATCAATGGAGAAGTTTAGAAACCACTGGTAGAAATGTCCAGAAAAATCATTCCTCCCAAATATCAGGGAGTCAGAATTCCACTGCTTTCTTTATTATAACGTCCTTTAAGTGAAAGTCGTCCGGCACAATGCCAGGATCATCTCTTCCCCCACCTACCTGACGAGAATATTTTGGAAGCGCCCCTTCCTCACGCTCTCCGTGGTCCTGAACCTACCGGTAGGGCTCTGTTTTAGAGTCAGTTGAAATGCGATAGGCTGGGAATTAGGGAATAGAGAAATTGAAGAAGCTGTTGAGGGAGAAAAGAGGATTTCTGTTTTGTCAATTTTTAAATACTCTCAGTTACCAACAAAGAAACCACAATCAACCTTGGCCAAACTGAAAGAAAGCAAGCAATTTTGTGGAGAGCATTGTTGATCTGTGCAAATGTCAACATGCACATGCAAGGTCACCTGGGAGAGCAGGCAGATCACCAGTGGGCAGAGGCAGGATGGGTCGACTGCCATTCACAGTTGACATATAACAAATTGTACATGGATTTTGTTTATTTTTACTTTTAAATCATGATGGGAAAATACAGAACTAAAACAATAATAAATTATCACAATTCACAGAGATGTGTTCAAGTATATTTTGTGGCTTTATAACGATTCCAAGAGTTATGGTTTTAGCTATTTGGTAAAGTGTGTGCCCACCAATAATATAGTCATTTTTATTGTACATAATTATGTTCTGGGTATTGATTGATTTTACATAAGGTTTTTATTTCCTGTTCTTCTAGCTTAACAGTAAGTGCTGGTGTTGATGTTTGTCCTCTGAATGCACTACATCGCTTTCCATTAACCTTTAAAAGTAATTCAAGGTAAAGAGGAAAGCTATTATTTGTTAGCTGGGAAATTTTTAAATCAGTAAAGTTTAATAAATCTAGAAGTATATTTCTATAAATAATCTTTCATCTAAAAATATAAAAAAAGGTTTGGTAAAAAATTAGGACATATTATCTTTGAAATTTTTTCTGTGAATTTCTCTCTCTCTCTTCCCCACCTTTCAAAGTTTTAAGATATATCTAGAAGTCTAGATCTCAGAGACAAGAAGGCTAATGTCCCTGGTGAGAATAATCTAAGTACAACATCAAACATACTACAGTACCTTTATCTTCATGGCAATTTTTCAAGTTAAAGTTATTTAGGAAATATGAAATGTGTTGCCATAATTCTCCATGTAAGCACCACAGACTTACTGTATGCATTTACAGTACTGTACACATCTGAGGAGTGGGTTGAACTGTAGTGATTTCCCTGAAGAATCAGATTATACTCTAGGCATTTTGTGTGCACCTGAGAGCAATGTGGATCAGTCTTACACATAACACAAACACAATAAGGCTAAAGGCTATGCCAATTCCAAGGGTTCCTTTGGTTTGACCATCAGCAGCAACCGATTCAGTTGTTTACTCTTTTCTCCCTGATACAGTGTCTTCCCTTTACCTTAAAGAGAACGACCTTGCTAGTTCCTCTTCTTAGTCTCTTTTGATGGTTCCTTTGTCTTAGTTTGTTCTCCACTTTCTCTCTCTTGATGATCTTGTCCAGTATTATGGGCTTTAAATCCATCTTCAGCCCCGACTTGTCTTTCAACTGCAACCTTATATATACAAATGCCTACTTGATATCTCCACTTAGAGGTTCAACAAGCATCTGAAACTCAACATGTCTAGAACTGAATCTTCCTGATCTTCCCCCATCATCCTTGCCCCTGTTTACCTACAGTCTTCCAATCTGTGGTAGTTTTTAAAAAACGACTACAAATTCTTTGATATTCCTCTCATGAAAAAGTATGGTCTAGGTTCCCTCCCCTTTAATCTGGCTGGGCTTGGTGATGCTTTGACCAACAGAATACATACAGTAGAAGTGAAACTCTATGACTTCTGAGATGAGGTCATAAAAGGCTACGGAACTTCTGCTTGGTTCTCTTGGATCACCTCCTCTTGGCATGTTAGCTCTTGGGATGCTCAGTCTGCAGAGCTCTCCTTGGGAATTTGGCCTCCATGTCGTAAGAAGTTCTAACCACCTGGAGAGACCAGCTGTGAGTACTTGGGTTGACCCAGCCTTTCAGTCATCCCAGCCCAGATGCCAGACACACAAGTGAAGAAACTTCCAAATGATTCCAGGCTCCAGCCATTCAAGTTTCCCTCAACTGTTCATGCATCCCAGCCAAAGTCCCAGACATCGTGGAGCAGAGCAACCCATGCCCACAGTGCCCTGTCTGAATTCCTGACCCATAGAATCCTAGAGTGTAATAAAATGGTTTAAGACACTTCCTTTGGAGTGGTTTGTTAACCCGGCAATAGAAAACTGACACTATCTCAATTGATGGAAACTTTATCTTTCCAGTTGCACAGATTAAAAACCTTTTTCTCTCATCTAAACCACCTACAAATCCTGCTGATTCCATCTATCTTCAAAATATATTCAGAATTTGACCATAGCTCACCATCTCTACTGCTGACTGGATCTGCATCTCTTGATTGGATTTCTGCAACAGCCTTTAACAGGTCTCTCTGCTCCTGCCTTTATTCCTGTTTCCTCTCCCGATTAGTCTATTCCCAACAGAACTGCCAGAAGGAGTCTTTAAAATGTAAGTCAGATTATGTCACCGCTCTGTTAAACACCTTCCAGTAGCTTCCTCCTAATTCAGAGTACAACCCAGAGTCCTTAAAGTGGCCCACATGATCTTGTATGATTCCATCCCTGGCTATCTCTCCTCCTCCTATTCTCCCCTCTTCCACTGCACTTCATCCACACTTCCCCTCCTTACCGTCCCTTGATGTAATTACGAATGCATTGAGTGCAAATTACCTAACTCGCATCTTCCCAATCCATGCAAATCCAATATTCCCAAGCTTCTAGTCAGTTGTTTTTTGTTTTAAATGAAGGACCTTGGAGTGATGAACCCAAGTTTGAGGAACTATTTAAACAAAGAAGAAAAGAAGAAAGATGTGATTGTTAACTTTGCAGTTAAGGAGGGGATGTGAGAAAAGTGAGGGGCCATGGATGACCTAGCGATTCTTAGTAAAACAAACTAGTTTGACCTCCAGACCCTGACTAGTGAACAGAGGGCGTGGAAAATTCATTATTACTGAAATTCTCATTAAAAACCAAACAAGGAAAGTTGAAAAATTATTTTGAAGACATTTTCTGGTTATCAAATTTTAGACTGAGTGCATTGCACCAAAAAGACAACTTTAAGATGAATAATAGGTCAAAGTCAACAAGAGGTGTTGTAAAGTCTACAAATCCTTCTAGGCATGTGCTCTTCCAGATAAAACATGTGTCTCCTTAAATACAAGAAATAGCTGGGGGGCGGGGGGGTCTTTCTTTAGATGAAATGACCCCAAGAGTTGGTGGCATTATCTAAGATGACAAGTTGACTGACAAATCCTCAATCCTTATCAAAGGATGTCAAAGAAAATGAGAATATAACAAAGAAGTCCAGAAAATTTTTAAAAAGAAAAAGCAAGTTTTTTAGACAACTGTCAGTCATTCAGGACTAACCTAAAAAATCACCAATCAGTAAAATTTCTGAAATGGAAAAAATAAGTAGTGTCATATAGTTTTCACCTACTCCTTCTCCTCCAACCTCATTCATCTGTCTGTTTCATGCTTTATTTAGTCCAAAGACAGAAAATGTTTTGAAATCATCTGTTAAGGTTATTAGTGTCTTTCCCAAATACTGTTTTAGTTGTCAGCTCATTTATCTTCCCTGAGTTCTCTAGGATAGATGGAGTTTGAAATCAAGACAAGGGCAGAACTGGATTCTTAGTAGCCGATTGCCAGTAACTGATGTTTCCCAGAGGCCCTGAGACTCACCAGGCCTGGGTCATTGCCTACCTTACCCAGTTGTAGTAAATATCCTACAGGTGGAGACTTTTGTTTTCTGGTTAAGGCTGTGCACTCATCTGCTCCCAAGGTATTTAATTAAACATTTTCCTTTGTACCTAAGCCAATGATTCTCAAATTTATCATAAATAAGAGTCTCCTGGAATGCTGCTTAAAAAGCAGATGGTGGGGGTCCAGAGTTCTCTAAGAGTTTCTTGTAGCCAGAACTCTGCATTTTTAATCACAACTTGGAAAACACTAGCACAAATATTTAAGAGAGAGAATAACTCTTCACACTTGTCAGAAAGATTTGATACCTGTGATGGAAAAGAGAGAAGGCTAATGCAATAATGCCTCAGTTAAGTAGTGTTTTTATTGCTGTTGTTCTCTTGGTATGCATATAATACTAAAATGTAACTCCCCTGCTTGCATTTCACAGCACCATATTATTGAGCCTTTCAACTAATCATCAGTCGTCTAGAACTGTGCTACTGAAAAGGTGGCGCCCACACCCACTCAGCAGCCAGCAATCAGCATCACCTGGAGTGTGTTAAAAATGCAGAACCTTAGCGTGCCCTAGACCTTCTGAATCCGACCTGCATTTTAACAAGATCCTCAGGTCTGAGAAGCATTGATCTAGCAGATTCTCAAGTCCAATGTGACCTTCCAGCTCACTTTCAATTTTGCTATTTCACATTTTTTAATCTGAAAGGATGAAAGATTTTAATTATAAGAGAAAACAGGGTTATTAAGGAGAGAGACATCTCCAGGTTCCCAAATTGTACGGTCTGTGATTGATGACTTTTAAGTCCAAAGCCAATTGGTTGCTATGGGATCTCATTTGCCCTGTGTCTACTTCTTCACGAATAGATCACAGCTCTGTAATTGTATTCATTTGTCTCCCATCTTCACTGTAAGCTTCCTGTGGGCACGATCGTGTCTTAGATATTTAAATCCTAGTTCCTAGCCTAATGCCTAACCCAAGGAAGTGCTTCAAAAGACCTGAATAGCAAAAAGAAGAAAAGAAAAGAAAGGAAAAGAAAAATTGCCACTTATCTGAGTTACCCGAGTTATTGCCAATAACTTACCCATCCTTCAAGTTCAAGCTTATGGCTTCTCTCCTCCATAAAGATTTCTTTCGTATTTCACCCACCATGATCTCCACCTGCTCAAAGTAAATACCACTTATTTGACACTTAACACAAACAGGACTTTAGTTATCAATTATCTTTATTTTGTATCTCTTTTATTACCCCATCAAAGCTGTAGGAAGGTGTCTCTTTGTATATATTTCATACCGCACTGCAGAATAGACATTCCAATATTCGTTACTATTGAGCTATCTTAAAATAAAAATAGACATTAAAATGAGAAAATCTGTAAGTTTTGATTTTCCTTCCAGCATCATTCTAAATTGCAAAAATTAATTCCAGAGATGTCAATATTTAAACAGCTCCTGCAGTTGTGCCCTATTTATCTTAAGTAAGACATCTCTTTTGACATAAGAAATACTTTCTAATTTTCAAATTGTTAGTTGCACCTTCGGCCAACTCAATTCTAATTTCTGTTATTTGTGATAGTAACTTATACTTTTCTATGTTGACCATATAGAAAATGTTTAATTTATAACAGATTAATTCACAACAAAAATAAATGTATGGCTAGAGATCACTCTAGGGATATGTTAAATAACTTGTAAAGTTTGTACAATGTCTCTGATAGCTCCACACATAGACCAATATTTCCATTTTAAAGCTAATTGTAGACATATTGCCCAATAGTGCACCCATGGCATGTAAAGTTTTAACTCCTGGAATCATAACTGCCTTTGTGAATATCAACACAGCTTTCCCAGTTTTTTGACGACGTTACTTCAGCTCTCTTTTAGTTTAAAAACGCATTTTAGTCTATTACACAAATCATCTCTAATTATCCTATAGATGGCAGCATTGAGCAATATATTTGGTAAAAGCTTGCTTTTTGGTTTCTATGCATTTTCAGTTAGGAGTGAATTTTTCAGACAGTGTATTTCATTACACTATACCGCAAGATTAATTTAGCGTAAAGTGACAGGATAATACTTGTTCCCTCTCAAAATTACTTCAGTTAGATTCCACAAAAGCATCTTTTTCTATTCTGTATATTATATGAACCAAAAGTGCATTTCCAGAGTTATCTCGACACATGAATAAAAAAAATGTAGAGAACAAATGAATGTACTATACTATAATTATAATAAATATTAACCACCTTTAACGTTGGTAGTAACACATCAGCAAGTAGGAAGAAATGACAATAGCATCTTACGATCGGCGATTATCTTCCACGTGAAACCATTGGTCTGCACAGAACTGGTTACGGCAATCCGGCTTATTTCATGATGTCTATCGAATATTTTAGCCACTGAAGTTGAGTTTTTAAACCAGAAATCTTTTCCCACTGAGACATTTTTTAAAAGCTTTTATAATATTTTATATGATCGAAATCCTAACCTTTCTGTGAAGGTTATTTGTAGAATATTTGCTAATTAAATTGATCTTCCTGCCCTCTCCTTCTTGTAGGAAAGAATATTTTGTTTTACATAGAGGTAAATTTCCCTTTTTTTAGCTTTTTTGGCGGGGGGGGGGGGGAGCGGGTAGGGATCATGTGAAACCTAAAAGTCTATGTATGGATCTGGATTGCTTTCCTACAAAATGTGAAATATTCTCCACCTCACGCTAAACATCAAACCTGTAAAAAGCCCTTTGGCCTTAGATTACGCTGTTACCAGTAAACAACCCTTTTACCTTTCTTTTTTCTTGCCAAAGGTAAAACCCCACAGGGTTACACTTTCCTAGTGACTGCAGGCTTCCTGCTCCGCATTCTCCTCGCCTGCTCCCCATACAGCACACTCTACCCCCAGAATCTCGGTCACTGTTATTGTCGCCTCGTTACCAGTTCCAAATACCTGCTATTTATAGCTGTGCTGTAGTGGGCACGTGTGCCCACATCACCAAGCTGTCAGAGGGAGAGAAGGGCGGGCTTCCAATTCAACAGTGTGTACACAAATTATAGATTAACCAGGTTTAGATGAGGCAGCATGACAGCAGGGAAGAAGAAGGTAAGAGGAGAAACGAGAAGCTCCCAGGCCTCGGTGGGGGAGAGCCCCTCTGCAGATGCCTGGTTCCACAATTCACGTATCACACGCCGCTGAATGGCGCCTATGGTTCTTTTTTTCCTTTTTATTTTATATATTTTTTACTACGCTTTGCAACCTACCTTGGTACCCTCACCCTCGCTTCCTCGTCCCCTCCTGCAATGCAAGGCTTGAAAGACAGGCAGCCCCACCAATCAGCAGGCTTCCCAAAGAATCTGCCCCCGCCCCGCAGCTTCGTATTAGGCCCTGGCGAGCTCCAGCGCGGCCCAGCCAGTCTGGGAATTGAGCATGCCCAGCGCCTCCGCCGCTGCGTCCCCCTGCGAGCATCCCGCAGTGCCCGGGAGCCGGCGACAGAGGAGGGGTCTCCCGCGTGGAGAGGGGGTGGAAACCCCAACGGAACAAGGATGGGGTGGAAAAATAAGATAGCATTAAACAGAGACACAAACGTCGTTTTTGTAGGCTCCTTAATGCCAGCTGGGCAAGCAGGAGACAAACTACTTGTTTATAGGTCGGCTTGGGAGAAAAAAACAACTTTGGGGAGCGTTTGCCTGCGGTGAGACTAATACCCCAAGGTAACTGTGTATGAGTCTATCCAAGTAGACCCAGGCTGCGACCTGTTCTACTCAAGAAGTACCCGTTTTCTTGTACAGTTGAGCTGGCACTATCCTTGTTTTCTCCTGATTATCCTTGTGGTCAAGGGTAAAAATTTTATGGGGTGGTTCGAAGAGTGTGGCAGCTGTGTGTGAAACAAACATTTACACAGTAGGGTTTTGGCTTTATGAACCCTCTTTAGGTCCCTAACATCTTTTTAAAATCACAGAAAGATTCCGGAATATGATAAGGGGCATCTCCTTTTCTCCCCTTGCCTTCACCCCTAGGTGTGAATCCCCGCCCCCTGGCTAGGATGGGGGTGCGGGGACAAGCTGCGATATTTGCATTTTCTCCCTAATTGATCAGTTGTTAACCCCACAGGGCGGGACGTAGGGCGCTTCCCCGGGATCCCTTTTCTCGTTGTGGAGTGCCTAGAACTCCACAATCATTGCCCTTGGGCGTCCCTCTGTTCCTTCGAGGTACCTCCCTGCAGCAAATGCGGGGATTCCAAGGTGGAAGGCTGGCTCAGAAGTCCCGTAGAAAACCTTATAAAAATACAGATCTCTTCACCATGGCCTATCACCCTGAAACTGAAATCCAGCGTTTCTATTTCCTGGGAGGAAAAGCCTCGACTAGAAACCTCCCTCCCCAGGGTCCGATCTTACCTGTTCGGTAAGATCCAGCCCAGCTCCCGCGCCCCCTCCTCCCCCGGCCCTCCCACTCAGGGCTCTGTAGCCGCAGTCCCCCCCCGCCGCCCCCCACCCTCACTCCTGCGTCTTCCCGGGCTCGGCCCCCGCGCCGTTTTCCCAGACTCCCCTCGTGCTTTCGGGTAGCCACCCAAACACCCCCGCCCGCGCCAGCGGCGGGGATTCCTGCGGGCCGGGGGCGCCCTGGGTGGCGCGCGGGGAGGAAGGCGCTGCGCCGGGGCGGGCGGCCGCGCAGGGGCGCTGCCCGAGCGCTGCGCCGAGGCCGGGCGCGGGCGCCGCTGCGGCACTGCCGGGGGGCGGAGAGGGGCGGGCGCGGGGCGGGCTCGGCCGGGAATGTAGAGACCCGGGCGGGAGCCTCTCGGCGGCGGCCGGGCTGCGGAGCGCGGAGGCTCCGTCACGTGTTTTTCTCCTCCGAGTGAGACGGCGGCGCGGTCGGAGGGGGCCGGCGCGCAGAGCCAGACGCCGCCGCTTGTTTTGGTTGGGGCTCTCGGCAACTCTCCGAGGAGTAGGAGGGAGGAGGGGAGAAGTAACTGCAGAGGCAGCGCCTCCCGGGGAAGAGGCGTCTTCCCCGACTCCTTCCCAAACCTCCGCCCTCGTCCCCTCCCCTCCTCCCCTGCCGACTGGAGCGAGGGGCAGGGATGAGCCTGTCCCTCCAGCCCGTCCCCAGCTGCCTAGTAGCGTTTCGCGTGGAAAAGCCACTTTCTCCGCCCGCCGAGATGGGCCCGAATGGGGGCTGCAGAGGACGCGTCCGCGGGCGGCAGCAGCAGCAGCAACAGCCGCAGCGCCGCGGTCTCTGCGATTGAGCTGGTATTTGGGCGGCTGGTGGCGGCGGGGACGGTTGGGGGGTGGGAGGAGGCGGAGGAGGAGGCGAAGGAGGAGGAGGAGGAGGAGGGAGAACCCCGTGCAACGTTGGGACTTGGCAGCTCGCCTCCCCCTGCCCAAGGATATTTAATTTGCCTCGGGAATCGCTACTTCCAGAGGGGAACTCAGGAGGGAAGGCGCGCGCGCCTGGAGGGGTAACGCAGAGACCCCTGGCCGCCGCCGCCTGCCTGCGCCGGACTCCAGCCCGGGCGGCGAGAGATGCATCTTCGCTCCTTCCCGGCCTCGGCGGCTGAGGGGAGACTTGGCTCTCGGAGGATCCGGGTTGCACTCACGCCGGACGCACTGCCTCCCCCCAGGGCATGAAACGCCCGTAAACTCCGATCGGAGCTATCTCCTTGGCGCAGCCGCTGCGTCCTCCTTCGGCTGCCCCTCCCCGGCGCGGGGGACGGCGTGGATTTCGGAGTCGGGGTTTCTGCTGCCTCCAGCCCTGTTTGCATGTGCGGGGCCGCGGCGAGGAGCCTCCGCCCCCTACCCGGTTGTTTTTCCGCGCCTCCCTCTGCTCGGCGGCGGTGGCGGCGGCACCATGGCGAGCCCTCCGGAGACCGACGGCTTCTCGGACGTGCGCAAGGTGGGCTACCTGCGCAAACCCAAGAGCATGCACAAGCGCTTCTTCGTGCTGCGGGCGGCCAGCGAGGCTGGGGGCCCGGCGCGCCTCGAGTACTACGAGAACGAGAAGAAGTGGCGGCACAAGTCGAGCGCCCCCAAACGCTCGATCCCCCTCGAGAGCTGCTTCAACATCAACAAGCGGGCGGACTCCAAGAACAAGCACCTGGTGGCCCTCTACACCCGGGACGAGCACTTTGCTATCGCGGCGGACAGCGAGGCCGAGCAGGACAGCTGGTACCAGGCCCTCCTGCAGCTGCACAACCGTGCCAAGGGCCACCACGACGGGGCCGCGGCCCCTGGGGCGGGAGGCGGAGGGGGCAGCTGCAGCGGCAGCTCTGGCCTCGGCGAGGCAGGGGAGGACTTGAGCTACGGGGACGTGCCCCCAGGACCTGCGTTCAAAGAGGTCTGGCAGGTGATCCTGAAACCCAAGGGCCTGGGTCAGACAAAGAACCTGATTGGCATCTACCGCCTCTGCCTGACCAGCAAGACCATCAGCTTCGTGAAGCTGAACTCGGAGGCGGCGGCCGTGGTGCTGCAGCTGATGAACATCAGGCGCTGTGGCCACTCAGAGAACTTCTTCTTCATTGAAGTGGGCCGTTCCGCAGTGACGGGACCCGGGGAGTTCTGGATGCAGGTGGATGACTCTGTGGTGGCTCAGAACATGCACGAGACAATCCTGGAGGCCATGCGGGCCATGAGCGATGAGTTCCGCCCTCGCAGCAAGAGCCAGTCCTCGTCCAACTGCTCCAACCCCATCAGCGTACCCCTGCGCAGGCACCACCTCAACAACCCCCCGCCCAGCCAGGTGGGGCTGACTCGCCGCTCGCGCACCGAGAGCATCACCGCCACCTCCCCGGCCAGCATGGTGGGCGGGAAGCAGGGCTCCTTCCGTGTCCGTGCTTCCAGCGACGGCGAAGGCACTATGTCCCGTCCAGCTTCGGTGGATGGCAGTCCTGTGAGTCCTAGCACCAACAGGACCCACGCCCACCGGCATCGGGGCAGCTCTCGGCTGCACCCCCCTCTCAACCACAGCCGCTCCATCCCTATGCCTTCTTCTCGATGCTCACCTTCGGCCACTAGCCCGGTCAGTCTGTCGTCCAGCAGCACCAGTGGCCACGGCTCCACCTCAGACTGTCTCTTCCCGCGGCGGTCTAGTGCTTCTGTGTCCGGCTCCCCCAGCGATGGCGGTTTCATCTCCTCGGATGAGTATGGCTCCAGTCCCTGCGATTTCCGAAGTTCCTTCCGCAGTGTCACCCCAGATTCCCTGGGCCACACCCCACCGGCCCGGGGTGAGGAGGAGTTGAGCAACTACATCTGCATGGGAGGCAAGGGGGCCTCCACCCTCACTGCCCCCAATGGTCACTACATTTTGCCTCGGGGTGGCAATGGTCACCGCTACGTCCCAGGAGCTGGCTTGGGCACGAGTCCAGCCCTGGCTGGAGATGAAGCAGCCAGTGCTGCAGATCTGGATAATCGGTTCCGAAAGCGGACTCACTCTGCTGGCACATCTCCTACCATTTCCCACCAGAAGACCCCATCCCAGTCCTCTGTGGCTTCCATTGAGGAATATACAGAGATGATGCCTGCCTACCCACCAGGAGGTGGCAGTGGAGGCCGACTGCCCGGCTACCGGCACTCGGCCTTTGTGCCCACCCATTCCTACCCTGAGGAGGGTCTGGAAATGCACCCTTTGGAGCGTGGTGGGGGCCACCACCGCCCAGACACCTCAACTCTCCACACTGATGATGGCTACATGCCCATGTCCCCAGGAGTGGCCCCAGTGCCTGGCAGCCGAAAGGGCAGTGGGGACTATATGCCTATGAGCCCCAAGAGCGTGTCTGCCCCGCAGCAAATCATCAACCCCATCAGACGCCATCCCCAGAGAGTGGACCCCAATGGCTACATGATGATGTCCCCAAGCGGCAGCTGCTCCCCTGACATTGGAGGTGGGTCCAGCAGCAGCAGCAGTGCTGCCCCTTCTGGGAGCAGCTATGGGAAGCTATGGACAAATGGTGTAGGGGGCCACTACTCTCACGCCCTCCCACACCCCAAACTACCCATGGAGAGCAGTGGGAGCAAGCTCTTGTCTTGTACAGGTGACTACATGAACATGTCGCCAGTGGGGGACTCCAACACTAGCAGCCCCTCTGACTGCTACTACGGCCCTGAGGACCCCCAGCACAAGCCAGTACTCTCCTACTACTCATTGCCAAGGTCCTTTAAGCACACCCAGCGCCCTGGGGAGCTGGAGGAGACTGCCCGGCACCAGCACCTCCGCCTTTCCTCCAGCTCTGGTCGCCTTCTCTATGCTGCAGCAGCAGAAGATTCCTCTTCCTCCACCAGCAGTGACAGCCTGGGTGGGGGATACTGTGGGGCTAGATCCGAGCCCGGCCTCCCACATCATCTCCACCATCAGGTCCTGCAGCCTCATCTGCCTCGAAAGGTGGACACAGCTGCGCAGACCAACAGCCGCCTTGCTCGGCCCACGAGGCTGTCCCTGGGTGATCCCAAGGCCAGCACCTTACCTCGGGCCCGAGACCAGCAGCAGCAGCCACCCCTGCTGCACCCTCCGGAGCCCAAGAGCCCAGGGGAATATGTGAATATTGAATTTGGGAGTGATCAGCCAGGCTACTTATCTGGCCCCATGGCTCCCCACAGCTCGCCTTCTGTCAGGTGTCCATCCCAGCTCCAGCCAGCTCCCAGAGAGGAAGAGACTGGCCCTGAAGAATACATGAACATGGACTTGGGGCCGGGCCGGAGGGCAGCCTGGCAGGAGAGCGCTGGGGTCCAGCCTGGCAGAGTAGGCCCTGCGCCTCCTGGGTCTGCTAGCATGTGCAGGCCTACTCGGGCAGTGCCCAGCAGCCGGGGTGACTACATGACCATGCAGATGGGTTGTCCCCGTCAGAGCTACGTGGACACCTCGCCAGTTGCCCCCATCAGCTATGCTGACATGCGGACGGGCATTGTTGTGGAGGAGGTGAGCCTTCCCGGGGCCACAGCGGCTGCTCCTTCCTCAACCTCAGCAGCCTCTGCTTCTCCTGCTGCACCTCAAGGGGCAGGGGAGCTGGGGGCCCGCTCTTCCCTGCTGGGGGGCCCGCAGGGACCTGGTGGCATGAGCGCCTTCACCCGGGTGAACCTCAGCCCCAATCGCAACCAGAGTGCCAAAGTGATCCGTGCGGACCCGCAAGGGTGCCGGAGGCGGCATAGCTCCGAGACCTTCTCCTCGACACCTAGTGCCACCCGGGCGGGCAATATGGTGCCCTTCGGAGCGGGGGCTGTGGTGGGGAGCAGCGGTGGTGGCAGCAGCAGCACTGAGGATGTGAAGCGCCACAGCTCTGCTTCCTTTGAGAACGTGTGGCTGAGGCCTGGGGAGCTCGGGGGAGCCCCCAAGGAGCCAGCCCAAGTGTGCGGGGCTGCTGGGGGTTTGGAGAATGGTCTTAACTACATAGATCTGGATTTGGTCAAGGACTTCAAACAGCGCCCTCAGGAGCGCCCCTCTCAGCAGCAGCCTCCCCCACCCCCGGCCCCTCATCAGCCTCTTGGCAGCAGTGAGAGCAGCTCCACCAGCCGCTCCAGTGAGGATTTAAGCGCCTATGCCAGCATCAGTTTCCAGAAGCAGCCAGAGGACCTCCAGTAGCTCAACTGGACATCACAGCAGGTGCGTTTCCTGGTGACAAAGTCAGAAGACAAAACTGCTTTTAACCTGGTGCTCAATTTCTCTTCCTCTTTGCCTGAGCCCCTTCCCTCTCCTTCCCACTGCTTCCTTAGAGAGTGCACTCATGGGAGGGGAGGAGGTCAGGGCACAGGCGATGAGATGCTCACCCCACCATGACACCTGGCCGGGAGTCAAATAAACCTGTAGGAGCAGCCACCCAGGAGGGCTCTTTCATTTGAGGCTCCCAAGTGTAGTACTTCCTGCAGTAGTTCCAAAACATATTTTCTATAATACCAGTTCTGAAGTTTGTGAAGTGCAGTATAAGAACCTCAGTCTCTTTTTTGAAGTTTTCTTTTGACTATATATTTAGGTCAGTCCGTGGGAGGGACAATTCTCCAAAAATACTTGTTAGTACAGGGGCTAAACTCTTTATTTAAATCAGTTTGTCGGAGCTGTTAAAGGTGATTTTATCAAGTTGCTCTATGTACTTAGTTCTGTCATTTCACAATACCAAGGCAATATAAATAGCAGTGACAATCAGTTTTTATTCCTGCTGCCCTAAAAAAGATTCAAGAGTAAGAGCTTGTTTAGGCTTACATATTTAGAGAGAAATCCCTGTCTATCTGTGACTCTCTTTAGAAAGTAATTGTGGGTGACATTTTCTTGCTATTCCTGAGCCAGGATTTGTGAAATATTATTCACACACCGACCCACCACCTCATAGGCATGGCCGCTATTATACAGGCTATGCAGGGAAACCTGCATGCATCTGGGACCCATTATTAGTTAGGAGTTATAGAAATTCATCTCAGCGTGTCTGCCTTACGGTTGTCTGTTCTTGCAGAGGCCTGCGCGGAGACACCACACAGGTCATTTGGGGACTACTGTACATCTTCTGTGAAATTACTTAACTTTCTTATGTTGAAAAGGAGTATTAAGTAAGGGAATCCAGAGGGTTTGTTTTGCTTAGCACTGAACGTAAGGGCTAAACCTTGCACTCTTGACTTTTAGAATATTTATTGTTTGTCTTTAAGTTCTAGAGTGGACGCCTTGGTAAATGTTGAAAGTTGGCTTTTGGTCTTCTGTGGCCAAGGCTGTATTGAAAATGAAAAACATTTGTAATAGGAAATTAGCCTGCCCTTCATTCTCTTGAGCCTATTTTCTGGTGGTCATAATTGTGGGAAGAAGAGAGGAGTATAGTTTGCAAATAATGTGATGACTTGGCAATGCAGAAGTTTCCAGCATTTGGGAACACTTTATTCTGACAAACTGATTATCATGTGATAGTTTTTTCATATCTGCTTCACAAAATGAGTTTTTAAAAGCATTCTTCTTCTTAATATGTGTCCATTCATAAGAAGCTAATTTGTGCTTTGGGTTTCTATTAATGGGTATTTATTTATTTTATAGTCACAGTCCCCTTGATTCTAACAGTTTGTGATATTTGACCCATATCATTATTTTGCGGGACAAGATATAGGTATACAAACATTCAAACTAAGAGTTTAGGTGGTATATATTACAAAAAGCATTTCTTTGATCAGTAGTCAATGTTTATTTTCATGATTCATGAGAAGAGAGATTTAACCATGTCTATCAACGTCAAGAGTAAAAATTTTGATTACTTCAAATAATGCCTTTGGGAACGTGAATCATTCTAACACTTTAACCATTTGTGTTGCAAAGCGTTTCATTTATAAAGTAATGAGCATCTCAATGAAAAAAACCCAGCAGAACTAAAATTTTGGTTTTAAGGGAGATGAAAGAAGAGGTTAAGAAACAATAAGTTTTCTTTGTCTGTTTTCTTAATTTAAACAGGTTTCTTTTTATGGAGTAGAATAAATAATATTTGCTCCGAAGAAAATGGATGACCAAATAGAGTTTTTGTTTTTAAAAAGGGCTTTAAAATAAAGTTTTCCTTATGTGGATGATACATTAAAAACAAATCAACCAAAAAAAACCAATCTTCCATTCTTAGCTTTCTTAGGGAAAACATAATATTCTGGAATAATCATATAATCATACCCCTAATAATCTTGGAGTAGCAGTAGACCATGCTTTAACAGCACCATGCCAGAAAAATTCTACAATGTGTATCTGTAAGATGTAAATGGAGAGATGAGGGGTGTGTGTGTATGTTTTAAGTGAGGGGCTCAGTGGTACTTGGCACTTTTACATCATAAATTCTGCTTGCTCGCCGCCTTTGCCCTGTTGAGTTTAAAGATGTGATTTGATAGTCAATCATCAGCTGAAACAAAAAGAAAGGAAACCTGTCTGCAACAAACAACTTTTCCTAGGAATGAGTATGTTAGTTTGTGAGAACATTGTTTTCCTAACTTCTTTAGAAATTGCTGTCTTTGCCTCTTTCTCATTTCTCAGGTAAACCCTGAAATAGGAAAGGGAATGAGGTGCTATGAGGGGTGTGCTCTTTCTCCTAACCCCTTATTTCAAACATCTCTGCTTGTTTAATATTTTTCACTGTTTCTTACAGGAGAACATTTGGGAGGTATTTAGCTCAGATGCTCTGCGTCACCTCCCGTCCAACCACCTTTTTTGTTTCTCTTCTCTCTTGTCAATCGGTGTCTCCCTAACTTAGTTCTGACCTGCTGGATTGTTTTCCAGAACTCTCCCTCTCCCATTCTCTTTGTTTCCCACCTCTTATTTCATGTTCCTGGCATTGTCTTTTTTTGCTCCGTTTCAGAATTTCGCAGTACTTGTGGCCTTACTCTCTACAGAGAGTAAACTTGAGATCCCAAGGAGGGCAGAAAGGACACAGCAGCCCAGCCACCTTTAACCAGCATTTACCTCATTTTGTTTTTTTAGTTTTGAAACTGCAACTGGGCAGATAGAGCAGCCTTTGGCAAAGACACAGACCTGAGCGATCCCTTTTAGGTTCCATTGTTTCTTTTGGAATTTTGTTATGTCTTCCTAAAAAACAAAAACAAAAACAAACCCGGGGGGGGGGGTGGGCATTTCTCCTCCCTTCATTCTGTTTCCTTGTGATTTCAAGGATTCTGTACCTCCACGACTGACTCCCATCCCTCTCACTCCTTCCCTCTCCCTCCCGTCCCTGTGTGGCCTTTTTGTCTGGCGCTAACCCTCTCAGCTCTGGCACTCTCCCGTTTCCCGGGTCACCTCCGCTTCCTGCATTCCTCCCTATTTATTTGGCACTTGGCTCCCCCTTCCTCCTCCAAGCCCCCTTTGGCCGTGGGTAGGGGAATCTGCAGCGAGGCAGAGGTCGCCCTCAGAGGTCTGCCACCCTGCCCATCTCCGGTCGCCTGGGGGCGCCCGCTGGGGAGGCCAGGCCCCTTCCCGGGCCACTCGGTAGGAGATGGGGGGGCAAGCCTGGCCCCCCGGGCAGTGCGGCACAGAGTCTGGCTTCGAGCGGGCGGGGCGGAGGGCGCTGATTGGCCACTGTCAGAGCCAATCAGCACGAGTGTCTGCGAGTTGCGGAGGGCGCGGTGCGAGGCGGGGCGGGGCGGGGCCGGGGGCGGGGTGAGGGCCTGGGCGCCCTCCCGCAGTGGTGTGGTCGCTTGAGCTGTGGCTGGGGGCCAGGCGTCCGGAAGCCCTTTGCCCACCCCTCTCCCTCCACCCACCCCACTCCCTCCACCCCTTCTGTTTACAGCCGGCAGAACTGACCCAAATGTGCGCCCCTCCCACCCCCCTCCAGAGGATGTTATGCACTCAGCCTTATTCGTGCATCTAGACCAGAATCCTAAGAATGAGAAAGTCCAACCAGCCCACTGACAGAGGCCGGAAATACACACTTCCTCTCATTTTAATTGAGAAAAATCCAGGCCGTGACCATGTGACGTGCCCCATTTTGTTTCCCTCCTCTCTTTACTACGACGCCACCTTCCTTCATCTTGCTGTCTTGAAATCCGCTAGCAGGAGGTAGCTTCAGCACGTGGTTGGAGGATTGATTGGGTTGGCTCAGGATCCTTACATTTACATCCCTCACTAATAGGAGCGAGGAGAGGGGAAAAAAAGGGGGGAAGGAAATACAAATGCTGTGGCTGGCACTGTTTGGGGATCGTTCGGAAAAAACCTCATTTGGCTTGAAATTGCGTTAGGGTCAACATTATAATGAGCGCCTGTAGTTTGCAAAGCAGGGAGCTGGAAAAGATCAACAGAAACTGACCCTTCTAGGCCCAAGGGAGCTCAGAGTGAAATGAAAACGTCGGATAGAGCTTGCAAATCGTGAGAATCTAGAGCTTCATTACAAGGGCTTGGGTAGGGTTCCTTACTGAGGTTGGAGGAAATGCTGTTTAAGCTGTCATAAACAGATTGGTTTTTTGACCAGTGACAGCTCATCAGGGCAGGCTGGGCGGACTGATTTTGAAAGCTTGCTGAATTTGTGTTGTGCTCCTTCGCATAAGCAAAATTATGTGAGATGTATTACTAAATGGGATGGAAAATTTGTTCAGATTTGTCCTTTCTAAAATAAAGAAGGAAAATAAGAAAGAAATACTGTGGAAGTATTTTCTTCTCCCCCTACTCCCCTATCCCTCTCAAATAAGCATTTCTCACCAGCCGGCATCCCTGTTGCACCACTGGATCATAAGCCCGAAGGCCTGAGGTGTTTATAGAAACCTCACAGGTGAAAATGCAAAGAAGAAGGACGCCCCCTTTTAAATGTTATGCCCCGATACTGCTTCTGATTGGTGGGAGAGAGTTTCCCTCTTGTTGCAGAAAACTCTGAGCATCGAACAATTTTGTTAAATTCTGCCATTGTTTAAGAAACTTTTTATGTTCAAAAATAAATCCATAAAAAATTCCATATATTGTCATTTATCTGATTGTCCCCCAATAAATACTATCTCCAATATTGTCTTATAGTGGGAGACTTGGAATCCAAGAGATCATGCTCCCTTACTCTCTTTTATTTTGGTTCATCAAAATTCCTGGAAAATAGCTTTATGCTGTCTTGAATGATGCAATGGAAAAAGCAGCTCCTGGGAGCCAATGATTTTGCTTGGTAACTCAGCCTGTGCCCTTCACTG